TTGGGAAAACCATGGCTTTAGCCTAGGTATATCTAGCATGAGAAAAACATAAATGCTTACATAGTAAGCAGCCATAGCTTTGTGGGAGGGGTCAGGATGAAGATAAACCCCCAGAAAAAAAAAAAGATTATAAGGAAATAAATCTAACAAATGTATATCTAAATCAGGGATTTCTGAGTTGCACTTCTTTGCAATCTAATTATTAAAGTGCTTGTAACATTTTTGTTTTTCAATGGATTGGGATGAAATGTACAAGGAAACTAAAACATGATCTGATGAATGGTTTCATATTCTATAGAAATCAATGCCAGGATTTTCAATATTGCATGGTTCTTATTTTTGTTTGTTTTTGTGTAAAGCATCCCCTTTTGTATAATTTCAAGTAATACTTTGTCACTGTGATTTGTCTAAGAGAGCCCTCCCTCTTGTTCTCTATTTTTCCCATTTTGAGCTCATATATTTAAAAGAAACACACATGCATTTATCAGTGGGGCTAAAACAATGCACAGCCAAGAAAACTTGGATAAACTAAAGAGAAGACAGAGAAGCAATCTTTACCAAGATAAAATGGAATGTGGTGCTAGGGAATAGCACAGATTTGGATGAGAATCATGGGAAATTTAGTTATTGGGAAAACAGGGAGCATGGAGTTCAGATTAATAGGCTATTTCCACACTGTCACTATTCCCATTCTTTACTTCCTCAATAATAGTTGGAAGATGATCCATGATTGTCTTCACTCTTGACAGTGCAGGAACACAGAACAAGTAGCAAACCCTCTTTTCTATCCTGGGCTGTTGCAGGTCCTCCAGAAACAAGAATCTCCTCACTTCCAATCCATGCAAAAAGGAATCAAGTAATTACTTGCACACATACTCTACATGCTTATTCATATTGTGTGCATTTGTGTGATCATATACAAAAGAATTCCAGCAGTTCCAAGGAAGGAGAGTTGGAAATCCTCAAGCTATATTGAAAGACCTGAAGACCTAGGGACCAGGAGGCGTACTGAACCATGAGTTCCTCAGAATGGAGGAATGGGCCTCTTATTTCTAGTTTTACTTCAAGTTCAAGTATTCCACAGTTGAGCAAGAAATAAATTCGATCAGCTTTTAAACACAGCCAATATCATGGATCACAGAAGTCTGGATCTGCTTTTGAACTGGCACACAATTCTTGAATGGATATACCCTTAGAGAAGAATAATAGAACATTAATTTCTGAGTTACTTGTTGATATCTAACAAGTGTTGTTCTTTAGACTTAGAGCCAACAGTTATGTGAGATAAATTGACTCAAGTCTGTGTGGGCCTGATCCAGAACACTGTTAAATAGTTATATAAACAATCAAGTTATCTCCAAGTTTTTGTCACCAGTCAGGATGTCTCTTTTAGAAAACCTGTAACTGTCTTAAATTGAGACACTGGTCTCTTTTCTTGGCTTTTCTTCTTGTTTTGCAGCCTATTTGCACATTGATTTCACACACACACACACACACACACACACACAAGCAATCCAAGGTTCTTTTGTTTCTGTGAGATCCCATTCAACATATTATCTCTACAGTAATTACTCTGGTTTTTAATCCCTAATTTCAGAGCCTGAATACAATTCTTTCCTTGACCTGTTTAGCAGTCTCCTTGGCCAGAGAGATTATTATTTTTCCCTTAAAAAGGACAGCTTACTAAAGACAAAAGAAATACTTGTGTATTGCAACAGTAGTCAAATGATACCATGAAATCCTTTGCCAGTTTGGATGCTATTCACGCTTCACAGTTGGATTCTTTTCCCCAGCAGGCTGTAGATCAGACAGTATGAAGGTTCATAAGTTTATTGGCAAAGTGTGACTCTTAATTAGAGATGTAACACAAATGTCTACTGTTCCTGTTCCCATCGATTTAATGAGCAGAGGAAGGTACACATATCTTCTTAACTCAATTATGTACAGAGGTAGAGAGACAATAGTAACCAAAATAATTCCCACAGCTTTTTCCAGCAAGTCCACCTTGTCCAGAACAAAAGTACAAACATAATGGAAAGTCTGAGTCAATGTTTTCTGGGTAATATTAAGCAAGCATAAGATATCAAAATATACAAGAATGGTCAAATTAAACTCCTTTGTTAACTTCTCACCCCACAAATCAGTGTCCCTACACATTGATGCAGCACATTCCAGGAGCTGCCATGGAGAGGAAAGGATGGAGAAGTCTATTTTCTACAGCTCTGTGCACATGCCTAAATTTGGATCTAGCCCATTGTCCTATTTTGGAGTAGTAATTGTAATTTCATATATGGAATGCATGGAGAAATCTTACATAAATGAAATTCTCAAGTAATTTGAAGGGTTTGGTTTAAAGTACAAATATTTGGCATGCAACACAAAATAAATAATTCCAATCCAATCATATCCTGCTTCTAATAAGTTAAAACACAAACACGCTACTTAAATTCTAGGGCTAATATTTGTATTAGTGGCAATTAAATAAAAGTATGTTAATATTTCATACTGGTCTCCTAGTTAATCAAACATATGCATGCAAAATAAATAATGTTCAAGAAAAATATCTTTTCCAACCCTCTCAATCATTAATCAAGCAACATTTATCAAAAGGAAGTAAAGATATACACCTGAACTCATTTCCTCAGTAGTAAAAAAAGAAAGTAAACAATGGATGTGTTACTTACTTAGAACAACTTGGCTACTTCGTTATTATTGTTATTGTTGTTTACCCACACTCTGCCAAATAGTTTTGACTAGATTTGGTACTTTTGACTATCAGATTCTTCCCAAGGATCTAGGATAGCTAAATATTCTATCTTAATATATGCACTGTTAGAAGTAGTGCAACTTTTTGTCATCATCATCATCATCTTCTTCTTCTTCTTCTTCTTCTTCTTCTTCTTCTTCTTCTTCTTCTTCTTCTTCTTCTTCTTCTTCTTCTTCATCATCATCATCATCATCATCATCATCATCCTGAATGCATCCACTGCAGGTTGAAGCCTCCTCATCAAAATTAATGGACCAAACCTACAATGGCATTCTTTGGCCAACTAGACACCAGGAACGAGGGTGCCATTTTGCCAGAGATGCAGATACAATATTATATATTATTTATGGAAGCTGAAGAAACTGAAATAAGACATTTCAATCTAATCTCCAGTGATGAACCAGGGATATTTGGATTCAAACTGTCATTTATCAATGAATTTCACCTTTGACCAGTTATTCTACCTGAGCTGAATCTATCCCAAAATATTGTTGTGTACATAGAGAAGAGAGAACCATCCTGAGTTCCTGAAAAAAAAGCATATACATAGTAAATAAACAATCTAATACAAAACGTAAGATTAAGATTAAAACCCTGTGCACATATAACTTGAAGGAGATTTATACTGGATTGTACTATGTCTTTGTTACATTTCTTCCTACAAAAGTGCCTATCAAAGCATTTCAGCCTATACAGTATTACTTAAACGGAAGCAAGGTTTTCAGGCTCTAAATTGTGGTTCCTAATTGACTAAAATTGGTTAACAATTCACCTCACAACTATTGTTTAAAAACTTGTATTCATCTGAACAACACCACCACTTAATAGTACTTTGTGAAGAAATCTTCTGTACTCAGTACAATCTAAATCTGATTTTACCTATTTATCTGGTTGTAGTCAGGATCACTGAATGTTGAAACTTCTGATAAGACAGTAAACTTGTACAACTAACTTACTGGACTACTTTGGGTATACAAGTTGGCTGTGGAAGTGCATATGCCCAAGATGTGCTTGCTCTGTGGGATGAGAACAGAGACTGACTAAACACACACACACAGACACAGAATCATTGCCTGTATCTTCCATTCCCAACCTAGTGTCCTCCAAATAAACTGAACTCCATCCCCAGCCAGCACAAGCAGAGGACGGTAGCAAGTGAAGGAACCCTGACCGATAATTTTCAACATGGAATTACAGTATCTTTGCCCATTTGCACCTAACCACATAAGACATACAGTACTGTGCAGAAATCTTTTTTTCTGCATTCCCCATTATGTTGCCTCCATTTCAGCCCCAGCCTTCAAATGAGACAAAAGTTAAGTCTCCCTTTGCCATATAGGAGGTAAAGTAGTATTTTGCCAATTATTCAAACACCATCCAAGGCAGCCTCAAGTGGTTTGAAATCTGTCTGGCTTTGTCACCTGTTACTCTGGGCACAAGTCAGGTAACTGCAGTGAATGGAAACAAAGGCAATAGATGCAGTCTAGGGATTGGCAATGGCCATAACAAATTTTCATGTCAATTCACTGAGTGGAAAACACTTCAACTCAGCAGGGAAAGGCTCATAAAAGTAGTGAGTGTAAAAAGAGCAGTTTAGGCCATAGAACTCAACCTTATGTTCTGTGCAGGAATCCAAATGAAAGCAGATGGCTGCGTCCAGCCTGTGCTTGAACACAGCCAGCAAGGGGAGCCCACCACTTCTCTGGCTAATTGATTTTTCAGTCGGAGGGCCCTTATTGTTAGGAATTCTCTCCTAACATTCAGCCAGAGTCGGCTTCCTGTAACCTGAATCTCCTGGGATGACCGAGAGCAGGGTTCTCCTGTACTCACGGGGGCTGCACCTGCTGACTTCGTGCCACCGTCCAACTTTTATAGACGCAACGCCTCTATCGAGGGAGCGCGGAAAACTGGCAACCCGAGTAAGACTAAGCTATTCCAGGTGGCTGCAGAGATGGGTGGGGAAGCGAGAGGAAAACAACCTTTTATCTCAACCGCCTTAGTTGTGCAAATGGCCATCGCCTCGGAGCCTTGAGCTGCTGCCAGCCACGCCGACCTTTTCCCGTTTGGCACAAAAAGCCGCCAGCAAGGGAGGGAGAGAGGGAGGGAACCTGCTCGCTCTGCCTCTCAGCGCCCCCAACTTGTGCTCGCGGGCTCCGGCGACACGAACCGCGACAGCGCCAGCAGCCCTCCCCTTCCCCCCCAGGCTCCCGCCCTGCTCGCGAGCTTTCGCTGGCTGAAGCAAACACGACCTCCGGCGCCGACGGGAGCTGCGAGCGAGCAGCAGGCAGCGTTGGGGCTACGTCAGTAGGGGCGCGCGGTTTAGACTCCGGCTCTTTAAAACGGTGTGTAAACTGAGATGCTCCCTTAGAGAGCCGCACGCCAGCAGCCGTTTGGAGTGCAGCAGCGGGCGGCCTTCCAACGCAGTCACCCACAGCTCTCCTGGCACGCGCGCGCCCGCCGCCCCTCGCCGTCAAGTTAGGCTTGCCCCGAAAAGCTCCTCGCCGCCACGCGCTCCGGCTGGTTAGGTAGTTAAGGGGGGATGTCAGAAGCCCCTTCCACTTCTGGAAAAGCAACTCTGCAGCCGTCGCCGTTTGCCCCCGCACTGCCTTGGCACCATGGACACCGCCGCGGTTGCCGTCGTCCCTGCCCGCGCGTTGCTTCTCCTCAGCGTGCTCGGGTTGCCGTCCGGACTGGGGACGCGCCAAAGGAGCTGCCCGGCCTTCTGTCACTGTGAGACAGACGGGATGCTCCAGCGGGTGGACTGCGCCGACCTGGGCCTCACAGGTGTGCCCGCCAACCTCAGCGTCTTCACCTCTTACCTGTAAGTACCATGGGCTCGGACAGGGTCGAGGGGAGGGTATTTTTTTTTGAAGCCAAGGAAAGGGGCAGATGCTTTCCCTCACATGGTGCCCTCTGATGTCTTGGATTACACCTCTCCATCATCACTCTAAATTGGAATGGACATGCTGGCTGTGAAGGATGGAGAGGCAACAGGTTGGGGGAATGTGGGACAGAAAATTGATAGTCTGCTAAATTCACCACCCACAAAACTAATCAGTGCAGCATAAGTTGTAGCTAGCTCACTAACCATCATCCTGCCACTGTCTCAACAGGCACTTTTTTGGTCATGGCATCCCTTACCTGTTGCACTGACTGTCAGCAAAAGCAAACAGGGGGTGGGGGGGGGGGACATTGCATAAAGTATGTTTATTTCTTTGTATCCAGCATAAACTGTCTCTAAATTGATAGTTTCTCATGGACCTGCTTCACTAAGAATATCAAAGACAATGTGGAATTTGGGGCTGTTTTAGAAAAGCAAAGAAATTCCAGGTGAAGAGTTGGCAGTTCTATAGGTATCTTATTTTATCTGTCCATTCTGCAGATGCAAAGTTAGGATACACTGTAAGAAATTAGAAAGTTTAGAAGACTGTGGATAAATAGTTTCACAAATGGTTAAGACACTGTGCAGCAAAAACATGTATCAAAGATCCAGATGTTATCCAGGGGATTTTCTGTTACAGACTGTGTAGTAAAAATGTATGAAAAGTATTAAGAATCTGAATAACCATGGTTCCATCAAAGCTTGTTATTATAATCCCTGAACTCTCTTCTATTATATTCAGTGAGACAAACTCAGGCTAAATACTTTGAGAAATAATTTATTTAATTTGTGTTAAGAAATTTGCTCTTTTATATTCAGAACTGACATTGCTGAAGAATCATGGAGGCAGTGGTGTTCTGAAGCCTGGTTAAAATATATATTCTAAATCTATATTAAAATTTTTCTAATTTGCTTGGCAGTGGCAAAATCTGTGTCAGTGGCAGGAAAGTTCAGGAAGCAGTGGGTTAAATGAGGAGTTATTATAGATCACTAATGTCTTTTTAGTTTGTGTTTTCCCTGTATTTCATTGTTTTATATAGCAGCTGTAACTGAACCTGTAACACTTTAGCTTTGGACTATCGACTCTAATATCAAACTGACCATATTATGAGGTTGCTGTTTTGTCAAAGTTTGTTTCTTACGTTTTTAAATGCACAGTCATGTTAAAAATGTCTACATGAAAAGCATTTTCATACAAAAATTAACTTGCAGCATAAAATTATGGTACATGCTTTAGTTGGTTTTGTACTTATAGCGGGAAACTGATATCAGTAGTACTATCCCAATATGCGTAGCTGGATAATCCTCCTATATTCAAGGATTAAAACTGTATTGTGCAAACAAGGATGTCAGTTGAGAGCCAAATGCATGGACATTTAGGTTGCAGCACGTAATACTTTAAAAAAGAATTGAAACGGGCTTAATAGAAAGATAATTAATTTCTTGCCTCAAGCTCTGTGTAGTGCATCACTTTCCAAAAATCTTGCTTTAATCATCTGTTTATAGAAAATGTGATACAAGCCATTTGCAGACTTTATTGAGATGTAATCCATTATATTACATATAAGTTATTTTTATAAATAGGCAGCATAATGTTTTATTTATAGCAACCTTCCCCAACTTGATGTCCTTAGTTCGGTGTAGAATTAATTCCAACTTTTGTGGCGGGTGTCAGTTTGAGGAAGCCTAATTTATAGAGTACGTAAAAAATAACCAGAATTATAAACTTGATTATACCTGCTGGATATTATCTTTACTAAAGTTTCTAAGGCAAGTCTTTGAATGACATTATTTAATCTTTAACTAATCTTGAAAGATAGAACAGGTGTCTATAAAAGAGGGTAAATGCTCTACTAGTATGACTGGATGGGAAAAAGTATCAGGGACAAAACCTTTTTGGATCTACTGAACAAAATCTATTAAGGACAGAATAAGCTCATGATCAAACTCAGTAAAAAAAAAAAGGTTGAAGTAATAAGATATGCATTTTACTGATTCATGAACTATACTGCATAGTATGAATTAAGTGGGTTTCACATTTTGGCATCAGTTATGAATCCTACCAGCAAAAGTATTCTACTTCACTGCAGTTGTGACTGCAGTTTTACAGTATGCAATGTTATCTGGGACAAAGTACCCTTAAACTTAGTGAAGCTTACCCTGTAGTAAAGATACATGAGATTATAGTTATCTTCCCTCTTTGATCACTTCAGAGCCTTGTAAAATACATTCACTTAATAGGATTATTCATTATGAATAACATTTATATTTTGAGGGCTTTGAAATCTTTCTCAGGCATATACTGAGAACACATATATGATTTTGAATACATTTTTTTTTAATTTGGAGGTAAAAGAAATGATAAAGACATGTCCAAATTGAGGTCTCTTTTTGGTGACTGTATAGGCACAGTCATGCAATTTGCTTGGCAACAGTATGGAAGTGGTTGCTATGGCCTTCTTTCAGGATGCTTTTCAACTTCCTAGTCTACCCATAGCCCTGGTATTCCTTGGGTCCAAGTACTAAAGAGGCTTAATCTGGTTTAGCTCCTAAGATTAGATAAAAATACCTGCTAGTACTCTATTTGTTTGTTATTGCCTTTTCCTGATTTTTTTTCTTTTTACTTCCTAGTCTTATTTGGGGTAAAGATTATTAATAATAAGGAACATCACATGGATTGCATTTGCTAATGCTCTGAAATTCAGCAGTAGTTCATCTCTAAAATGGTGGCCTCAAGATTCACTTTGTCTAACCCTGAATAATGAACTCCAATCTTCTCAGATAGAGATACGGGATATATTCTGTTAGAAAGACCTAAGAGAGTTTTGACCATTTTATGACCATTATATAATACCTAGATTCTTGAGACTCCCTAAAAAGCACCCAGATACATGAAAACTGATCTTCCAACCAGAAGGGGATGCTGCAACTCTATCTTGAGAATTTTAAGCCATTGACATTTAAGCTAGTCAATGTAATTACATTAGAAAAAATATAACCCATGATTAAAATCTGTTGCCATATTTTAAAATCATATGAATAATTAAGAAATCAGCCTTTTCTTCCAACTGAATTGACATTTTATTTTATTTCCATCATAGTAGGACTGTTACTATGTTATATAGTATATAGATTATACATACTTCTATATTACTATAGTATATTATATATTGTACTATATTATACATTATGGCTTCTGTCTTTTTTCTATCCCAGTTTTGACAATCTTTTGAAACATTGCTAGGCATATTAGTTTCTTGTGTAGTGAAGTTCCTTCATTCAAAATGAGTTTTTTAAAAATATTTTTTTGTTTATTATCTTTTTGGATGCATTTATACTTTCTGGAGTTGATCATATTTAAAGTGTGATAATAAATGTTTATAAATCTACCATAAACAAAACATTAAAATAGTAGAAATAGATGGGGCTATGCCACTTTAGTTAGTAATCTATTAATGCCTTATATGCAAGTATGTAAGAACTCTTCCTTTGGTTTTCAGTTGAGTAAAATATTCTTCAGTTGTACTAATATTATGTACATGACACAACTTACCTATTAATGTACACCATGATTTGTCCTAACTACAGACTTTTCCAAATGTTAATTAACATACATATATGGCCCTTCAGTTCATATGTAGGGCTACTGAATCATTCTGTTTATAGAAGTTTCTGCATTGTGGAAATGAGTATATCTGTGTAAGTGCTGAGACAGTAGAAAACAAAATTATTTCTAAATGATAGTTCAACTATTATAAGTCTGAAGCCTCAAAAAATAATTTTGGTTCTAAATTGTGACTAGAGCAAGTAACGATTTATCATGCTGTCTAAAGTGACTTACTATATCATCTATGGTTTAGTGCCATGTTCCTGCATTATGAGTATGGGATCACATTAATAATGATTGTTTAATTATCTGCCTTCTCTGCCACCATTCCCAGCATGGCAAATGGAAACTATTGTGGCTCTCTCATTCATGTTACTAAATTGGGATAATATTAGGATAATGTGCAGCATTTAAGTATGTTAATAGTTATTGTCATATTATTGTTTGATTTCCTGAGGTTTGTAGGCTACAATCATAACACACTGACTTGATTTAATATTAATAGGAATGCAGAGTTTCTGAAGTTTTGTGACATATGATATAGTATGTAAAACTCTAGTCAAATTTTAAGCAGTTTTATATGTTCTTAACCTTGGCTGAATCATGAACTGGGTTTTGTTTTGTTTGTTATTGTAAGATATCTATCTATCTATCTATCTATCTATCTATCTATCTATCTATCTATC